ATCAGCACGCTATGGTATTGGAAGACACAGGGTTTCCCGTAGACCAGCCAAAAAATCGATTTTCCACACTGAACAATTGGATTTAACACATTTAGAATAGGAGCTCCGCCTGATTCAGATTTCATCACTTAAAAGGTACCCATGCCTGACTAGCCTTCATGACTTAAAGCGTAACCACACCCGACTTAAGGGAACCATGCCTGACTAGCCTTCATAATTAAGAGGCACCCACCCACGCCTGACTTAACAGAACCCATGCCTGACTAGCCTTCATAATTAAAAGGTACCCATGCCCCTGAATTCAGGGAACCATGCCTGACTAGCCTTCACAATTAAAAGGTACCCACTGGAACCATGCCTGACTAGCCTTAATGACTTAAAAGGTAACTACACCTGACTTAATACCTGATTTACTGGTTTTGCCTGATTTTGGAAAAACGCAGGGCCGGAATTTGCAGGGCGCGGGCCGGAATTTGCCGGGCCCGGGCCGGAATTTGCCGGGCTGGGATTTTGGGGTCGTGCCTAAATAGGATTTTTGCAAAAATCGTGCATGACTGAAGGGAACCATGCCTGACTAAACATCATACCAATCATCCCAAAAGAATCCAATAATTCCAGAAAGTGATGCCTGACCAATCCCTGCGTCATAATAAACCGTCTGCCCCTCCCCACCCAATAATGAACACACGGAATAGGTTTTTGTATTTAGTGGGTATTTAGTATGAGGGTGCGAAACTTCCCCCTTGGTTAAAAAAAACTAAATTGGAAAACATTTTTTAAATAACATCTAACTAAAATATTGCCAAAATTGGATTCCGAAGCTTCCCCCTGACATTAAATTGAAAACATTCGTTTAAAAAAATGAACTTTATATTTCAAAACCGATTGAATTCCTATTCAAAATCTAACTCAAATCTTGCCAAATTGGATTTCGAAGCTTCCCCTTATATTAAATTGAAAACCTTACTAATCCCCACCTCCTTTTACTAAACGTACCCTAAATACTAAAATATTACATTGATTCCTTTTACTAGGGTCCGCGTTAAATTTTGGGAAATTTCAGGCTGGCCAGTTTGACTTTTAATTGATACCTTTTCAAAAACAAATTAAACATGAAGGTCCCATTTCAGGATTTCACCACCAAAAAATAAAAACTAGTCAGCCCCGGTGATTTTTTAAACTAGGGTCTTTTAAGGTCGAAAAAATAAGTATTTTATATTACAACGTTTATATAATATTGGGGGAAAACTTCGAAATCCACTTTTTGGCATTTCCTGGCAATATTTTTGCTGGATGTCAAAAGGAAATCTAATCGATTCTTGAAATCGAAAAAACATAGTTTTTTTTTTTATTAGTGTTTTTTAATTTAATCTTAGGGGAAAACTTCGAAATCCAATTTTTAGCAATATCTTAATTATATGTTAGACAGAAAACTAATCGATTTTGAAGCAGTTTTTTTAAAAATATATTGGGGCTGGTAATTTAATATTAGAGGAAACATTTCGAAATCCGGTTTTTGTTTTTATTTTTGTTACTACAATTTAAAAGGACATCGAATCGATTTCAAAAAAGAAAAAATAATTTTATATTAGGTTTTTTAAATGTAATATGAGGGGAAAACTTCAAAATCCAATTTTTGACCATATTCTAATTAGATTTCAAAAGGAAATCTAATGAATTTTGATATAGAAAAAATAGTCTTTGATATGAGGGTTTAATATGAGGGGAAAGCTTCGAAATCCAATTTCTGGCAATATCTTAATTTGAATTTACAAGGAAATCTAATCGATTCTGAAATAGAACAAATTTAGTTTTTTATATTGGAATTTTTCATGCAAGATTAGGGGAAGCATCGAAATCCAATTTTTGAACATATTTTAATAATTGGATTTTAATTTGATATTAGGGGAAAGCTTCAAAATCAATTTTTTGTTTTTTTCATTAGATTTCAAAAGGAAATCTAATCGATTTTGAAACAGGAAAAAAACAAAATGATATTAGGGTTTAATATAAGGGAAAAGCTTCGACATCCAATTTTTTGGCCATATTTTATTTAATTTTTAAAAGGAAATCTAATCGATTTCGAAATAGAAAAACATACATAGTTTTTTATGTTGGGGGTTTTTATTTGATATTAAGCTTCGGAATCCACTTGTTTGCCATATTTTAATTGGATTTAAAAAGAAAGAAATCTGATCGATTTTGAAATAGAAATATGTGTATATATATATATGTCTGTTTTTTATCAGTATTAGGGGGAAGCTTCGTACCCTAATACTAAAGACCCCCCCAATACTAAAAACTCCTCCAGGTGTTTGTTATTTGGGTGGGTGGGTGAAGGGGCGACTGTTTAGCAACAGGGGGAAGGGATTAAACCGTTTTTCGCTTCTAATTTCAAAATCCATGAAAATTATCTTCAAATAGAATACTGCCAAGAATAGGATTTCGAAGCTTTCGCCTAGTATCAAATAAAACACCAACACCTGAATTAAAAAAACTAAAATTGACGATTTTAAAGGACGGACCCCAATAAAAGACACCCCGGTGTTGACTAGTTTTTTATTCTTTGGGGGTGAAACCCTCACATGGTACCTTCATTTTTAAATTGTTTCCTCAAGGGGATCAATTAAAAATCAAATTAACCAATTTGACATTTCCCAAAATTGGAAATCGCACCTAGTTTTTGTTATTTGGGGGTATTTTTCGAAATAGGGAGAAAGGATTAGCAAAAAGAATGCCTGATCAAAATGATGCTGATTCTGTGTGTTACAATCTTTTTGCCCACTACAGTGTCTACAGGGTTACAAGGGATGCCGTGCCAGCTAGAGTCCCAAGTCCATTCAACCAACACCCTAATCGATGAAGTTGGACTTGTTGAAATGGAAGTGGGACTGGACCAGTTGACATGGGGCGATGCTGACCTTCAACGGGAGCTTCGGCGCCTGAAGGACAACAGTTTGAAAATTCCGAACCTGAAATATATTTTCAAAATTGCCTTACTAAGAGTGATCCCCACCCTGACACACTATTCTGACATAGTTTCTGACATATCATCTGGACGTATATGTGGCATATATGTTCTGACATACTATCTTACATTCTTTTCTGAGATTCTATTTGACATTCTTTCTGGCATCCTATCTGGCATCTATTCTGACATACTTTCTGGAATATACTATATTCTGATCCTGCCTTGCCATGAGTTTGGGCTGGGAGTTCTTTTATTTGCGTGGATCAATGCCAATGGCTTGAATATCCACCAAATGTTGGTTTCACATGTTTGCACCCAATGATTGCCATTACCATTGATACCCCAAAATGGCCAGGTCCTGAATTTGAGAGTAGGTCCTGAAAAGTTTTCTGGGTACTGAAAAAACAGGACTTTGGCACAGGGTCTGAAAAAAGACGTAGGTGGAAGATTCAGGTATGCTGTTGGGTTGCAAAGCTGGGTTAATCATCATCATACATACGTTGTATTGACTCGAACATCTTTATGCATAAATGGGTTTCCGTTTGTTTTGTTTTTTGTTTTTTAAAATGCGTTTCTTTTGCTTATAACACTTGGCGAGAGACGATTACTGCATTGGGGGGTTTTCGTTTGCTGGACTAAATAGATTTTGCAACCCTACAACAACCCTGCTCATCATAATCGCCATCCTCATTTCCATCTTCATTCTCATCCTCAACATCCTCATCATCCTCATCATCCCCATCATCCTCATCATCGTTTTCATCCTCTTCGTCCTCATCATCGTCGTCATCAACTCATTCCTGTTACCATGACTTTCGTCATCATCAGTTTCCTTCATCGTTCTGGTCAGCAACCTCATCAACATCAAAAAATTGGCACTGTTTGTGACTTGCAGCAACTCCAAAAAACCACGTGAGACCGTTGCCGCATTCCGACTTCACCTTGCTAATCCCCCTTTACGACTACCACCCCGCCCCAGCCCTGCTAGCTTTCGCACCTCCCCCCTGGCCTCAAGTCGTATATGCCATCCCCAAATCGGTAAGTCATTACCATATGATTGGGGTAGATTATTATCCATGATATCCCAATAATCCCGCCATGATAGCACCATTCTCAGGCGCGGCTACGAGCGCTGCGTGGGGGTTCCAGCGGGGAAGCCAATTGGTTGGCTGATTGAGTTCCCCAGATGCTGCTGCCATAGCCGAAAATAACATTTGAAGAAACTCACCAAGATATTGCATTTCTATATCATTGTTGATCTTGTTGATGTTGTTGTTTCACACATGAAGATGGGTATACAGTACATGTTCATGTACACGCGTTTCTGCACCATGCCAAAACTTAGTGACGACTCAGGATTATGCAAGTGTGAAGCAGCGCCGGGTGTGCTGCTTTGGCGGCTCAGCGTGCTGCGAGTTTTTTTTTTTCAGCTGAAGGAGGTTGGCTGCGTCTTGGAAACCAAGTTTGATTCAGAGAGATTTACTTGGAGAAGACATGGAAAATGGGACTGTTCTGGCCATTGGCTTGTGATATCTTTACCCTTGCTGAATATCATTGGATTCCTGGAAGATAGTGTGGGATCAGCTCAGTCAATGGCTGATATCTCAGCTTTCTGGTGGGACCCAAACCTCCAGGCTAGACCTGTCCATGACAGTAGGCAGCATAGGCTGGATTTCGTGGATGCGTAAACATTTCAACAGAATGGTAAGGTGGCAGGGTATGCAGGGTTAGTTTTAGATGGTTTTAGATAGTTTGAGTACCTGGGATTCGAACTCACAAAGTAACCAGTGGACACAGAAGTCTTTCATACCAGATGCTTTTCTGGTATCGTGCCAATTCCATGTGCAATGCTGTGCAGAGATTTATGATACTCATGCTAGTCTCTGTCAAATTGTAGCCAACCTTGAGCATAGCAGTTTCGGGACCGAGCACTTGCAGAACAACGCAGCACAGTGCTTGGGTCCATTGGTTGGGCACCGCAGTGAAAACATGATGGACAGCTGCATAGAAACCGCAGCCAGCGACAGTCATGGCCACGAAGGCATGGCGGAATGCGCGGCGCGCCGTGAATGCTTAGGTTTCTACAAAAGGTTGGCAAATCCGGGGCGGGGCTGTGGGACTCCAATTTTGTCATTCTGATTTATTACTGACGACTCAAGCATTCTCTACCAGGATAGGGGTACTTCACATCACGTTTAAGGCTGTAAAAAGGATCCAGTCCTCACTCCCGGGCCCCCCAATGGGACACGCATTGAATTTTGAAGTTTATTGCAGCGTGTGTAAAAACGAGATCTTCAAATATTTTGGATTATCGGGTTGGTAGGTCATTTACCACCGGAATCAATGGATTGTCCTCATTAGACCATTCCGCTATGGGGGCAGCTGTTGGTGGTGTTCCCAACATCTGGCTTTTTTGGCGCTTCAGCTATAGTGCTTGGAGTTGATGGCAGATAACACTGCAAGCCCAAAACCAATCTACATCGATGTGATATCAGATCATAGTAATCCTCATTTAACATCATTCAACATCATTTTTTTCACAACTTCTTAGTTTGATCAATTTCTTACCAAATTTATCCATAGTTCACAGGTGTTCACGGTGGCTCTCATTGGATGATCAGATGGCCATGGCGCGGTTGGCCGCCCGGGCCCGGCTCCCACTGCTGGCGCGAGGTGGGCACAGATTTTCGGATCCTTGGGTGATATTTGGGTGCAACTTGCAAGTTGTCATTGCCACATACAGTAACATACAGCAGCATACAGCCAGGACGCATCGGCATTACCTGCCGCCGCACCTTGCATGGTGTCTCAGGGGGTGAACGAATATCGGTCAACCAGAAGTGATTGGTGGTCGATGATGTGGGGCTTTCAGCACCAAACTGCAGGGATCTCTTGCTATATCTGACCCTGTCTCACTAAGCATGAGGATAGTAGCGCGGAGATTTTGGCCTGGGTTGGCAAATATCTCCTAAGTAGAATGATTCACCCTGATCGACTTATGTTTTTCAGGTTGAATTTCCCAGACAACAAATTATCGTGGCCATTTCAGACTCCACACTGAGTTCCGATCTGATGATTCTGATGTGGCGATGAGTGAGTTTTTTACACTCCACGCCTCAAAATGCCCCAGTTAATAATCAGTTCTCCCTATCAAACTTGATAAAAATTGCCATGGGGCATATTCCATTTTCAAAGAGCTACCACTGCCACTAGGCCTGCACTCGCATCTCGCAGTGCTTGGCATGGCCGTGTGATGTCGGCGACTTAGCCAGGCTTCAAGGAATGGGGGTTGGAACCCCTATGGCTTTGTCTGAAGACAGGGGGAATACCCCACAAATGCTTGAAGGGAAAATTATTATAAGATAAAGATATTATAAGTCACCAGATTTTGGGATATTATCTTATTGTATAGTCACCATATTTATAGGGATATTTAATAGCCTATTTCCAGACATTTCTATAACCCATCAGAACCCCCCAAATCGCTGACATTGACCAAGATTGCGCGCCAATGCCTCGGAGTCCAATCCCAGGCCCGGCAATGATTTTGCTGGTTGGGGGTCGACCACAGTTGTGCCTTATGGATCGTTATGATTGAAAAAAACGTGAAAATCCAGTATCTCTGAATAGGAATGACTGGAAAGTCGGTGTGTCTGGCAAGGTTCTCAACATGTTTGTACAGTCACCTCTGCTGCAAACGACAACTCTTGCTGCGTAGATGGGACGCAGATGTGCGAGCTTGCTTACTGAACGAGGAAACCAAAAGTGTATCTGGCGCTGTCAAAGACTTTCCGCCTGACATAGATAGGTGTGTCCAAATTGGGAGGACGCTCTATTTATGGCAATGTTAATAGGTTTTAATGATCATAATCTATCCGAATTGGGGGTATCCTGGCCGTACTATTTTCAGACTACCATACCATCATATAAGTTGGTTTGTAAACCCCATTAACTAGATATAGAATGAGAGAGAGATATATATAATATAGATATCTAAGATATCTACCATAAACCCTTTGAAATAGCATGTTTGCAACCCTTTGAAATATCCCAATGGTATCAATGAATTTTCTAGCTTTCGGACAGCGAGGCCGGAGGACAAGAACTCCAGTGGCGCGACATCCCATCCACACCTGCGAGAGCTTTACGAAGGCTCTGCGCGACAGATGCATGCGCAGATGGATCGCCTGTCTAAGGCTGGGACTTGGGAAGGGCCAAGGGGGTTTGGAACAAACACAGATTCATATTCGCAGAGCAAGCGGCTTGAGGCTTTCCCATTCTTGGAATCCCTGATGGACATACTTTATAATTATACAGTTCTGTTTTTATTTCATGGATTTCATATGATTTCATGGTGGAAAGCAGATCTGTTGGGTCCGGTCGTTTGTGACTCCCGAAGATCGACTGAGAATTGTGATCTGACAGATCTACCGCAACGTCCAGCTATCCTACACATTCCTGACGATCAGCCAGACACCTGGTGGCTGCCCGGTGAGGTCACACTAGGTGTGGCTATGGGGTAAACAACTGCTAGCAACAGAAAA